CTTACTAGCGTGGAGGTGAATGCGTCTAGAACAATGGTTTCCCGTTTAGCGAGCGGATATATGACTCTTTCCTTTTTTCCTTTCATTATTATTTTCTATGGATGTCTTGCCCATGTGTTTATGTGTGGGATACATTTCCATTAGGGCGCTACTGGAGGTCCTCATACTAGGGATTCTTTCGCTGGGAAGTGAGGCTTTTTATTTTCCTTCTTTCGTGTTCTTTCCCTTGCTTTTTCTTTTTTCTTTTTTCTTTTTTTCCCTTAGTTTTTAATGCACTCCGGTTCCTTTTTGTGGACAGCTTGTGGCACATACATCCATAGATATATCTACAGATAACTTCAAGGATTGTCACCAGGATGTTGATGTAGTACAAGATATGTCCGTTTTTGGCCAGAATAAGGGGGTGTAGGGGTGTGACGGTTAGTGACTGCATTGACGCCCACATTAATACCTGCACAATCCCTGACGATAATGCTATCCATGGATCAACCTCAGTATCTTAGCTAGTTTGTTATACACAAGGTTCTCGCTATTTCTTGCTCCAGCCGATAGCATCTGTATGTCCGCAATTGGTTAATGTATTCAATAGAGTTAACTAGCTAATAGTAATATTTACGTCGTACGACATAGTAAAAGCAAAGTGATAGATAGCCAAGCTATAGTCAAACAGTCAAGCAAGGAGAAAGCATAAGCAACATGCCCCCGGATCTACCCCCTGAAACCTTCAACTTTGGCCTGTAATATGTCTCAATGGTGTGATGATGTGCAGCAGACTAGAATGGAGTCATGACAGGGATAAAAGTTGCCGAGAAGTATTATAACACTCGAGCCAGTGAGGAAGAAAGTACATAGCATCCAAGAAATTGCCGATCCGCACGGGATGATCATGATTCGGAGAAACAAGATATAACCTTCCCCACAGCCCCTTCTAGGTTGTCTGAACAAGACATTGGAAGATAAACGGAACGAACAGAACTAAGTAGAATACAAGGAAAAGTCACTCGACCCAAAACCTAAAACAGCACAGCGCCGATCAGACGGAAGATGCCGCGAATGACCTCACTTTTCTCCACTGTTTCAACTGCAATCTTGCTTTTAGACAAAGTCTAAGGGGGAAAAAAAAAAAGAGATAAGAACGTATGATCATCTAATAATGAATTGGCAGGAAAAGAACGATGGGGATCGACTCTAGACTCGTCTCAGATCTGAGCTCGAGTCCTTTGTCTGTTGTGATGATTCTGGGCTCTCGGGATATACTCGGCTCCTGGCGCTACGTGAAACGCTCAGCCTTGAATATTGTAGGGTAATTTATGGTTCGATATGGGAATGTATTCTCTCATTTGGCTTTAGTCTAGACTAGCCTTATCACTTTGGGCGCCAAATATCAATTTTCTCTGATTCGGGGCTTTTTTAGGCTCTCACTGACAGCTCCGACTCTGTTAGTCATTGACACTATAATGTAACTAGCTAACTCAGCGACCTGATATACGGAGTACAATTCACGGAGTATTCGGATGCTATCCCGCTTGATCTGCACGGTCTCCGGAATGTGCGGAGTCCGGACCTCGGTATGCTGTGCTTACTACGGAGTACTGTGTAGGGAATCCATTGGAAACTGTTTCATGTTACGCGCCTGGACAAGGGACCAATTGCGTGAGTAGCCAATTTAAGTGTCTGCAGTTAGATTTGGCTTACGTCAATTTACTCTGTATGGAGTACTCCGTACAGAGTATAGAATATATAGAATACAGAGATGATGTGTTGCGTGTTATAGGCAAGTCGATCCCGTCAGCATCGGTATTTTCCCCGAACCTAATTGCTCGAAAGACATAAAGATATTCAGCATCACGCACAAGAATCCAATAGCTCAAGCCATACGGAGTATATATCAGCATAATAATGTGCAATTAAACCCTAATTATACTAAAGTACCAACCTGTCCCCTTATCACATATATGGCGGGATGATGGGAAGTCCAATATCGAACACAAAAGCAAATCCCTGTCAATTACCCAGCCTTGGAAGCCCAAGCTCAAACTCAAGCTCAGCTTCAAACCAATAACAGCAACTTCTTACCAGCCCAGCACCCAATCCCAAACAGCCAATCCACAAGAACCAGCCCATCCCCGCAGAAAGCCCTCAGCCCACGCGCACCCATGCACAAAAAGCAAACAGGAAGCGAAAAGAAAAAAGAAAAAGAACGAAACTCCTCTGCCTGGCTCCAGCCACGCCAAGACTAAATCGCCAAGCGGGGAAGGAGATAAATGCGGGGGAAATATGTATCCATTGGCACTAATGCTAAAGACATCCCATTACACGACCTAAGTAATCTGTACACATTACACATTACAAGGAGCTTATGAACCTACAATCTGTTCTAACTGGCTGCCCTATCCGGGGTCTGAATTACTCTGCAAGGTGAACTGAAAGTAGATCCCAAGCGGGGTTGGTGTCTATCCTACTGGATACAACATAGGCAACATTGGGTATGGAGCGGGATTCTGTGGATGCTCTTGGGTCTTGGCTGGGTGGTTGGGTGGCTGGTGCATATCCGTATTCACTGCTATCCACGGCGCATGCAGGTGCATTCCGTGGGCGTTATTGGTGGGCTACTGCGCCATAATATAACGACTTCTCGGTGGTCATATTCGATTGTTATTGGTAGATAAAGTACAGTGGATATGTATATCCGTGAGTGTGTGTGTGGGAAAAGGCTTGCTTATTGGGTTATGGGGTTGATTTCTGTGTCTATGCTTTAGGACAAGGGATACTCCGTACAAGTTTGTGTCATTTGGACATAGAGTTTGTGTTTGTTTCTGCAGAGTCTGGGGATGATGATCGATGATCGACGGTTACCTATCTTGAACGGAGTACTTACTCCATACGGAGTAGTTTTGGTCGAAATCATATGGTTATCGACGCATTCTTGCTAGTCTTAAGATAGACATGCCGGAGGTTGAGGTTGCTTTGCTTTAAATTCCCCATGCACATATTCTGCACTACTAGATTGGGCAAGGGCTGTATTTGAGACATACTACTTTGAGCATATAATGGAGAAATGTCATATCCCCAGATTACTCCACCCTGTTTAAGAAGGGTACTGTGTCGGGTGACCTATGTCATGGTACAACATGCCACGGACTGACGATCCTTGCATTAGCGTATCATGTAGAGCTGCAAAATGGTTACGGGGCAGTGTGGCTGCACACAATGTTGTCAGTGGTGTCACCCGAAAGCTTGTGATTGGGAGAGCGAGTAGAGAAGTGGCAAATTGTAGAAGTCGATAAAAGACCAGTAGTATTGAAAGTGTGATAATAGAACTGATATAGCTTAACCTGGAAGGGAGTGGATGGAAATTCAATGCTGCTACTTCCTCTTGTTCGGGTAGTACTTCCAATTACTCGACTACACATATGGTTCTATTCTCTACCTGATTCGTGTGGAACTATATCTTTTTCTAATACTAGCAAGGCAATTGACAATGCCTTCTAAACCCTTGTTTGCTCTTGACTGTTCTGGAGAAACATATCCATCAGTTCTGCAGTGTCAACATGATATGAGAGGATCGGTGGAAATTGATTCATTACACAAGCCCACAGAAGACACTTTCCCCATCTAGTTTAGGTCCATAGAATATAAGACAATGGAAATGACAAAGGATGTAAACCGATTTGATTCCCAAGCCGTGTGCCAGCACCTAGGAGGCATATCCACCAGGCCAACGAATACAAAGCGAATGACACCACGCAACCATGTACGTATGTTGTTGGACTAGATCAAGAAGAGAGGATATAAAAATGCAATAGCTCTTATTACAGGGATTATTTATATACGCCATACGAATAACTGCAGAAGCCTTGTAAGAACAAACCAAATGGAAAAAAAGAAGAATGCTATCTTATGCCTACCAGTAACAAGAACTCGCTTCTGAAACAGAGCAAGAAAAGAAAAAACAACAAAAGACGATTATAGACATGGACGATAGATCTTTGGAACAATCAAAAGGGCAGAGCAGGCGGTTGGTGGGAAGGGGGAACGGGAAAGGGAAAGGGAAGGGGATATATGCAACATGCTCTTCCTCTAGGTTCTGCATGCAATAATGAAGACCACGCATCTTTTTCCCCGGATGCGCACAGGATGGGAGGAAATAACAAGAATGACAAGACCATGGTAGACAGACCAGGGGAAACAAAGCACCCAAATAGAAACGAGAGTTGTCTGGTGTGCTTGTCCAGTTGATGAAGAGGATGAAATGAGACCGAGGGATGTATACCAGAGACACAGACAAGCATGGCCCAAGACCAATCGATTCAGATTGCCATCTCTCGCAGCTCGGTTCATCGGGGCGTATTTGTGTCATTGAGCCTTGCCAATTCTCGTGCGGGGGTTGAAGCCATTGATCCAAGTTGTTTGTCTCCCGAGCCAGCGCAAGAAACAAGGTCCCCCGGCGGCGTGCCGCAAATCAATGGCATTGGAGGATCAACCGATGAGTACCTGCCCATTTGAGAGACCAAGGGTTGATATTAAATGGCGCACGTCGGATATAGTGACGAGACGAGGAAGCGAAATCGAAAACAAAAGACAAAACTCTCACAAGTTCGCCGTTCCGAGTCGTAGCACCATGAAAGAGTGATGAGACGTAACATCAATGAGAGAAAGGTTGTTCCTACCCACAGTCAAATGTATAGGCTGAAGGATCGAATGGGACAAAAAGAGAATGGCCAGAAGGTGATATAGGCCGAGAAGCACGATTCTTGCTCGGCGAAGCGGCGATAACCACTTGAACACAAGGCAAGAAAGGAGCGAGAGGTGAAAGTAAACAAGAAGAAAAGAAAAGAAATCCCATGCAGACCTCCTTAGGCCATTTTCTGACATGAAGGGCAGGACGCAGAGGTGAAAGCGTGGCGCGGTAGGTCTAAGTGCGCCATCGCTTCATTTGACTGGAATTCAACCTGGATCCTGAGATGAGCTGGGCGCTCAGGTGATGCAGCACAGGCGAATCACCTACCGCAGCACAGAGCCTTCATCAACTTCTGGGTGAAAGTGGGCGGCGATTCAGGGGTACCCGGGCCACCAAGGGGCTGTTGGTTACTCAATCCCGGGTTCCCTGGACTTCCGTTCCGACCGGGGAGGTGGGCATTCGAGTTTTGAAACTGTGCCTGGGTTGACGCGGCCGGAGTCGATGCTTCCACCCCCGCGCTCTGGCGTTTGGGAGGCATGCCGCCGGCGCTTTGGCGCTCGCGCGTCTTTCCAGCTCCAACTTTGGCTGGAGAAGGAGGCGGGGGCTGCGCGGCGTTTAAACGGTCGGCTGTCACTCCGGGACGTTGGCTGTTGCGGAGCTCCCTTGCATGTTGGTCGCGACCGGACGAGCTCTGGTGCTGATTGTGCAGATGTGCCTGAGATGAGTAGGACTTATAGTCCCAGCCCCGTCCGTTGTTGAGCTTCATCCAGTCGTACTCGCCATCCTCCACCTCGCCGGCGTTCTTAAGAGCTTGTGTCAAGATATCACGGAGATAATCGTAGTCAGGTGTGTCCTCGAAACCAAGGTTACGCACGTAGCTCAGGTACTTGTTGAATTCTTCTGGCGGAATGATTAGCAGATGAATATGGATACGGATAAGAGTTGAGATAACATACCTGGATAACTATCGCAGAGGTCCTTGATTGCCGTCGTTTGCTTCTTTTCGCCAATCTTCTCGTACTTTTGCTTGTTGGTAGCAGCCTTTAGGCCCTGCCAGGGAAGGCCACCCCTCAAGAAGTACATGAAGACGTGACCGAGAGCTTCCAGGTCATCACGCCGAGATTGCTCACGGCCCAGATGTGTGTTGATACTCATATAACGAGCAGTGCCAGACAAAGACTTACGCTCGCGGTAAGGGATGTGTTGCTTGGTCTTGGGGTCGCGGTATTGCTTGGCCATACCGAAATCAACCACGTGGATAACGTTGGCAGCCTTAGTTGATGGCCGGCCAATAAGGAAGTTGTCTGGCTTGATATCGCGGTAGATGAGGTTCTTCTCGTGAATCGTTTGAACGCGCGAAAGCTAGTCACAGTTAGCCATGATTCATGTTGTAATTTCAAACAGGAAAAGACGCACCATCTGCTTGGCTACCATCACAACAGTCTTTGTGGAGAAGCGGCGGTTACAGTGATCGAAAAGATCTTCTAGAGAAGGACCGAGAAGATCGATAACGAGGATGTTGTGCAGACCCTCCTGTCCGAAATAGTAGACATTGGGAATGCCAGCTGATATGAAGTTAGAAGAGGGTACCACACCACATCTCCTTGCATTTGGAATACTTACGGCATCCAACCAGAATCTTGTATGTCCGGTACTCATCGCGGAGCTGGGGTGCATCGCTTTTCCGGGGTTCCTGATTTCGGGTCAGCCAGGAGGCTCGCCGCGACGAAGGGGAAAGGGAACATACGAATTTGATGGCAACCTGTTGGTTGTTCAGGAGGTTGGTGCCTTCAAAGATGACACCGAAGGAGCCTTCACCGATCTTTTTGCCCACACGGTAGTGGACACCCACTACGTTTGACGACGAGGAGGCCATGGATTCAGGAGCAAGGATTGTAACCCGCGGAAAGGGAACTTTGGATTACGGGGAATGGCTTCAGGGACGTAGACACGTGATTGATACTGTCACTGAGCGCAGTCAGCACATACGAAGTCGAACAACGATGAAAGCGATATCGAAGAGTCTGGGCACATACATCACAATGACCTCTGTTTTTTTTTTTCGACCGAAGCAGTTCTAACAGACTCAATGGAATCTATTTGCCTAATAGCCGATGTACCGGTGACGGCGATGAAAGGAGACGGAGCGGCGGACGGAATGCACAATCGGGACAAGATCAAAGGGACGCGGGACGTATAAAGCCGGAACAAGCAAATACCGGCGGAACTGGCAGTGCTGAACAAGAATTAAGGCGTTCGTGGGTCCTTTTTTCGACGGTCGGAAGTGAGGAGCTGTTGAACTCGGGGGAGGTTGTAGACCAGCCAAAGAAAAGGGAAAAGAGAAGAAAGCAAAACACAGATGGTACTTCGACCTACTGCGAGTACGAACCGCACTGAGCAGTGGTTCAAAGATAGACCAGAGGACCTGAGAAGGGGGGAGATGGAGAAGAGAAAGGGAAGGTGCAACACTCTAGGAGAGAGAGACAGGGAGCGGAGGGTATTGGGTGCGTATTGGTAAGAGACACCCTGGGGGTGGGCGCAGGAACTGGCGGTCACGGGTGTACAGTGACTGTATGGTAACTTTGGGGGAAATCTTCTCTGAGACCTATCAGAGGCCATCGTCTTCATTGTTCTCTCCATACTCATATTTAAAGCCTTACCCTTGTTCAAATGAAATTTTGAGATTACTGAGGAAAGCCACCAAATTGGCCTTGAATATTTCCTATCTTGTAAGCTACTCCGTACGGAGTACTTAGCTCAGACCTCCTCGGCGCTTCCGCAGCGGATCAACCTGCATTAACCAGGCACCGAAAATATCAGGGGAAGTATGCATTGGCTATGTCCACGGGTAGAGGCACTTAATTGTCCTTTTTTAAGGAAACAGAACCAGGGTCTGAGCCCGAATAGCATAGATACATATACAACATAGGCCGATTCGTTTTTTTTCCTTTCAGGGGAGTTCCCGTCTGGAATCGGTCTGGAATGCGGTTGATCGGTAATATTACCGTCTTGGCAGGAACACTGGTCAGTCGTCGATCACTGCAAATTGACTCTTATAAAGTACGTATTGTACGAATGTGCAAGTTTAGGTTGTGATATATGACTACATGTAGGTCTGGAGCCTTCAATATGACATGTCCACCAGGTAACCCGACTATGCGAATCGCAATTCATGGAATCTAGTACTAGTATCGGTACATTATAGCAGATATCGTCACAAACGGCTCCGTATCGATTGCGTCCTAATGGTCTTTGGGAATATCCTCAGCTTCGCTTCCAAGTTCATTTTCAACCATGTCTTCATCACTGTCCTGGCCGGCATCCTCGTCTTCCTCATCATCTTCTTCACTGCTGGACCCGCTGCCTTCACTATCGTCACTGTCGGGGTTGTAGTCTTCCTCTTCTTCATCCTCTTGATCTTCAAGCTCCCGCTGGGCTTTCTGGAGCTCGCTTTCATCTTCACCGGCTGCCTCAGCGGTGGGTGCCGCTGCGTCCTCTCCGGCGGATTTATTGACATTGTAGACCTTGGCGCGCCGCGCCTCTGCGAGACTAGCATCTTGGAGACCATGCCGTTTGATGTAAGTATCGATCCCGGAGAAATTGTCCTGGTCAATCATCGAAAATTCGAATTCCTGTATATCTTCTTCAGAGCCATTCTCGGGGCGAGCCATGACATTGAGATTGAATGTCCGCTGGAGGACGGATGTATACGAGACGGAGTCAATGGTAGCAAACGAAAAGAACAGAAGCGGTTTCTTGAATGCAAATAAGATACCCGTAGAAAGAAGGAAGAGGTAGCCTGCCGCAAGCCAAAGTATGTTAGAATGATCAAGACTAAAACCAAGATTAGGTTAAACGGAGATAGGAATATAACATACCTTCTTTACTACCGCGGAATGCCTTAACATGGTATGCTTTCTCGCCCTTCCGGTGCGCCTCAGGCATGGCACTAACGAACTGTTTATCATCAGGGCGCACAACATTGGTGTGAGACATGTTCTCATTCAGAATTTTGCGAATAAATGCCTCGGCCGATTCACCGGGACCGTGGCCAAGTTGTTCCCCATTTCCTGAGAATGCAGCCTTGGCTGGTCCATCGGCTATCGTAAACACCATAGCTTCGGAGGCTGTTGTTCCCTCGGGCGGGGGTGTGATGCCATCGGCATACTCGGGAATGATACAAAAATTGAACTGTTTCTGTGTCTTCTCCGGGACAGGAAGACAGAGAGCGTGTCCTAATTGAGCAACAGGTCATGTTAGCAATTCCTAAAATAATATTTTGGGAAAGAATAATTATTTTTCTGGTTCAACTCACGAATCTTATCCATAGAGACGCCGAATTCGATCTCTTTCGTAGCTTGATTCCTTGCCCGAAGATACTTATGCCCAGCAGTGATCTCGAGCGTAAGCTTCTTCCTCTGCGGTGTAGAGAATGAAACATCTTGAACATAGTACTGAACTGGCGCGTTGCTATCTTTCAGGTCGACTGACGCCTGCGCAGTCTCCCCCGAGTCTCCATTCTGAAGCTTGCGCTTTTTAGCGGCAGGCCCATCAACGACTGGGGGCCGCGAAGGGAGGGTAGTGTTGGCAGTCCTGGCCAGCAGGCTGGAGGTATATTTCGCAAGATCTTCGAGCAGAGGTTTGTGCTGCGGTGTTGCGCCTAAAGGATGAAGCCCATTGGCGACGGTCAGCAGAAGGTCGATGGGGTCATCGAATGGGGACGTGGGTGCGCTGTTGGCTACGCACCGATCGCGTCGTAGACTCGCTTCTTTAGCAAGGGTTCCGTCGCAAATGCCTCCTCGATGGCGGCGATGGGCGCGCCTGTAGAATTGATTGAGGCAAATGCCATGATTTTTGCGACTGCTTTGATTCAGAGAACAGCAGTGCAGGGAGATGCAGGTTAGTCGGAGAATTGGCGGATGAACGTAAGGGTGGGCCCGAAGTATCCGCATTGACTAGAACCCTAACTTGAGATCACGTACGGATATCTACATACTCTATGAATTCAAAAGATACAAATCCGAAATAAATTTATCAAGAAATAGATATATGAGTGAATGCAAAGCTCCATACTAGAATACAGTAGTGTGTGTACACGAAATGTTACGCGGAAAATAACCTTCTCCTCCGACTTCCATCTTCTTCCCCCAATCAAGCAGCCTGCTTGGATTTTGACTTCTTGGTCTTCGTGGACTTGCTTGCCTTTCCGTTTTGGATATGGTTGTTAATGAAGTTGATGGCATCCGGTGTCAATATCCCATTCCCTTCGGCATCAAAGTTCGCTTTCCTCGCTTCCGCAAGTCGAGCAATCCGCATGTTTTTGGCATCTGTCTTCGGTGTCATCATGGAGATAGTGTTTCTGTATTCCTTGCGATAGTCCTCCTTCATCTTCTCTTTCAGGTATTCCGGATCGTGTCGAGTGCGGAATCTGGAGTATTTGTTGCGCAGCTCATCAATGACGGTTGAGGGCATAGGTGGCTGCTCTAGTGTGGGTACGAATGTGCTGGTCTCAACCGCCATTCGCGTTGTGTCCATCTCGCCGTCGGTGATGACAGGCTCTTCCTCCAATGGCCAAGGGATTTCGATGTCCAAGCCGGAGACATAGCGAGTGTAGTCTGGGAGCTTGCTGTGTTCACCTCGGTCGATGTACGGCCCAGCGGCATAAGCGTGCTGAACAATGACGTTCTGCAGTTTTCCAGTCTTTGTGTCTTCCAGCGGAATGACGTGTCGGATGTCGTCGAAGGACACGGGGAAGGACTGTGGTTGGGTATCACCTGCGTGTCCCATTCGGTCTTTGGCCCATTCAGGAATGATAACGTCGGCCTAATTGAGAAATACCAGTGAGCCATTTGTTTTAGTAACCAACGGGTTAATGACTTGGATGACTGGTCCGTCGGAGACATACCATGTTGATATCCTTGATAAGGACAGTCTCACTGTCCCGGTTGACCTGCTGAATCACATTGATCTTTCCCTGGTCCCGTCCTCGTATAACGCAGACCCGGTCACCTTCGGCGAAGAGAACATGTCTCCGTTGTTCGTGCTTAGGGAGGCGCGGCGGATGCAAGACGGAAGCATCCTGACCACCATATGTAGTGCGCTGCAGTCCAGAGTCTCGCATGGGGGCAAGAGGCCCTTTTTCCCAATCTTCCCAGCGGTTCTTTCGTGCTGCTTGGAATTGACTAGACATCGCGCTGCCGAAGTCCTTCCGCGCCCGCCGAATGCTAACACGTTCCAACAATTCCTGTCGTTCATGAGCTTTCTGGGTTTTTTTGAGCGCCTGCCTCCGGGCTGAAGCTGTCCGCTGGATAACTCTCTGCATATTGGGCGTTGTGGTCCAGCAATGGCCGAACGTTGTCTCTGCCTCAGAATCCCCGGCGGATCGAAAATTGAGGGTGTCGGATGGGCCACGTGATCAATATCAATGTGTATTATGTCAGCAACAGCCGCTGGCGCCGCCTGCAATCAAGTATTCGGAGACCAGCCCTCAATCTGCATCGTAACTACATGCTAGTTGGTGATTCAAACGACTTTTTGCTATTTTCTATGGAATTTAGCTATGGCCCTAATTTTCTCAATTTGCGGCAGGAAGATACTCCCTATGGAAAACTGACGATGAAGGCCGGCAACGATCGACAGGCCTCGTTAAGGCCAACCGACACAAAATCTCAATAAAAACTCAGAGTTTATGATATGTTCCTATAAGCAGCTCTACCTCATCAGTCCACTGGTCACACTAGAAATTCCAGGGCCATAACACACATAGAAACTATATCGAGGTGAAATGGTGCCATTGTGATATCATAAAGACATTCGGGCAACACTATGATTAAAGGTCTCTATACCTGAGGATTTGGAGATTACCGATGGGCGTTG